GGGGGGGGGCAGTGTTGTTGGCTGTTTACTCCACCAGTGTCCTTCTGTCTCAGCGTGTCACCACTCTGGGCCAAAGGCTTTCTCACTCCATCACTTTCACAGACATAAATGCTCAATTTTCACTTCCAGCTGTGGCATCTGAATTCAGGGAACACACACACACACACACACACACACACACAGTTTGTTCCTTCTACTAAAAGTTGACTATAAATGTGTGGTGACTTCTTCTTCTTCTTCTTCTATTGTTGTTGTTGTGGTTGTTGTTGTTGTTGTTGCAGTGACCTTGTGTATTTTTTTTTTTCTGACGTCCTGTTCCTCAGGTTCCGTACAGAGGTAAAATACCTACTTTGTATTTTAGTATTTTAATCTTCAGACACACACACACACACACACACACTAGTGTGTTGTAGTTGTTAGTTGTTGCAGTAGTTCGTCAGTGGTGTTGGTGTAGTTCAGATGTTCGCCTGTAACTGAACGACTGTTCATTTGGTCTGGAAATATTTCAGAATTGACTGATAAATGAGTGAGTTTTTACAGTTGGGTTTGACTTTTCTTTTTTCTTTGTGTATTTCCGTGACCTTGACCTTGACCTTGACCCTGGACTGATGACCTCTCTGTATGGGGTACTGTCAGGGTACTGAGTGAGTCCCAGGCTGCTGCCCTGTGATGGACCAGTGACCTGTCCAGGGTGTAGGTCTGACCCCATGTCGTCTGAGCTCCTCAGCTCCCCCTGCTGACAAACAGGATGAATGAACATGAATTAACCAAACATCGTAGCTGTGATGGTATCAGTTCTACAGATGAACTGGTGGACATTGTTGGGGGGGAGTCTGGGGGGTTTGGGTTTGGGTGGGGGGGGTGGTGCAGTGGGTTTACTGTGGTTATTTTCCCAGATAAGATGTATGTAAATGGTGGAGCAGGCCTTTATATCACTGTACTATTGAGAGGAATGCGTGCGTGTGTGCGGCGCGTTAGTCGATATCTAATTAACCCCGTCTCACAGTCAGTGTGGCTGTTCATCAATGCGTGCACACTCTCAACACACTTGATTAAACCTCCCTTTAATGGCATCAAACTACAAAACTGAACCTGTTTTACTGCAGCTGTGGTTGTTTCAGGGAATTGAACCCTCATCTGTATGATTCACATGGAGGTCATGTGAAAACACACCACCATGACGACGCATCATCCACATAATCGTCTGTTTTTTTTTTTGTGTGTATCTAGGTCACATGCTGACCTTTGACCCCAGCATCATTCGTGACCTCACATTCCACTGTCTGTAATCTCACCACATCTGCAGCTCAGTTTTCTTTCTGTGAGCTGTAGCTGTAACAGTGTGAGTGGTTGTGAGTGCCATCACTGCCTTGCTTCACAGGCTGTTTGTTAATCAGGGCCATGTGCACCAATGGGGGAGAGCGATGTGGGCGTCTAGACTCTGGTAATGATCTGTGAACAGGATGTGATCAGTACTGAAGGGGGGGGGGGGGGGTGGAGCCTAATAATCCTCTTGTTGGTGATTCACTGTTGGTGATTCACTCATTCACTCATTCATTCATTCATTCAGAGTCAGATCAGATCAAAGGTGGTTTTTGTCTCAGATCAGTCTTTAATCTTTGTCTTTGTTAATAAACTGATTATTTGGACAAATCTGTCTTTTACCCCCCCCCCCCAGAGACAGTGAAGTTGTGTGTTGTTGCTACAGCTTCGTTGTAAATTCTCTGC